CTGCTGGATATGGGCACCAGTGACCCACGCAACCCTGAAAAGGAAGAAGCATGTACAGAAAATGGATGGATGGAAATGGATGTGGATATATTTCTCTTGATCATGTTTAATATATTTTATGTAAAAAAAAAAAAAAAAACATCCCAAACATTTTTTTTCTAACTGGCATCATTATGCGTACCGTAGAGGGTTAAAAACAGGAGAGAAACACCCAATTCTAAGAGACCAGTTTAGGTTTCATCCAAATCTCAAAGCAGCTGGAAGCTGCCGTTTCTTGGTAACACTAAAATGAGGAAGTGAAGTTTATAGGGGARGTCCCTCAGCTGGCTTGTTGTGCTGAAAATGGAGAATTTTGTATTTTACAGCTGGGACGAAGGGAAAAAAAAAGCAATTCTTTTTAAATGGGATCTAAAGTTTACTAATGTAATCCTGAGCTGATTCTATTTTAATTAGTTTACAAAAGTCTAAGCCTTTATTCATGAATTTCAGATAAAAATATTGCCAACAAAAGCAAGAGAGAGGTGACAGAAATCCACTCAGACGTTTGAATTAGTAACTCTTTATTTATGAAGGGGTTGGTTTTAACATTCTTGTCTGTAAGGAATCTCTACTTCAGACYTCCTATAAAGAATAACATTAACAAGATATGAGTTTGGATTAAACATATGTCAACATAAAACAACAACACAACTTTAAACAAAAACTTCATATGACATAGTTTTTAAATAACAAAACAAGGTGGAAAACTATCAGTGAAATGACAAAACCTTGCAGAAATAAACAGCGATGTCCGAGGACAAGTCTGAGGCATATGGTTAAGTTTTACAGGGAAATCATTTGGACCATTAGAACTAATATTTATACCATCTGCGCAGAATGAGTTCATTTATACACGTGGAGTCCAAGCAGTTTGTTACAAAAATAAAGTTTGGTTTCATCTCTCTCTGGTTTTCTTCCATTTCATGGCTTCCTGCGTGAACTTTAAGACAATATCTACATTTGGTCCTTCCTCCTCTCGTTTTTCCTTCTAGTGTTTCTACGACTACCTTTAGGAGCAGTTTGACTACATGACAGCATGTTTGTAAGAAAATGATGCAGAGTTTATCCTATTACATAAGGACTTAAATAAAAGTTTATCAGTTAAATAAGTTCCAGTGTTTTTCTTATTTTTTCTTCCTGTTTTGTTAATGAAATAGGAAGGTTTGTGTAAACGTTTTTTTTTTCTCAGTTAGGAAATGTTAGGCCTCAGCAGCAGACTCAGCTCAGGCACTGATGTGTGTTCCTGTGATGCTGTGTGGTGGGAGGTGAAGGTGGTCAGAAAGGAAACAATTCAGGTGTTAGTTTCTGGGAGCTAAGGCAGTATGGCTGCAACCTGCATGAATTCCTGATAACTGTTTTTTTTTTTAAATTAAAAACACATTTGTAAGCATGTAGGTGGTAAAAACTGAATTGTTGGTGTGATTTGGAACCAAAAGCCCTGCTGAGTTTTCTTAAACTTCCTGTTTTGTTGCATCAAACACTGGGATTTAACTGGATTTTTGACTTAATTAAAAGCAACAGTTCACACTGATAAAGTTAAATAAGGACAAAATCTTACTTTAAATTATTCCATTATTAATTATTAGTACTTTGCTTCATCTCTGAGCAGCTTCTCATTCCCAGTTGATTAAAAACACTCCCCGCACCATGACGCTGCCACCACCGTGCTTCACTGTAGGGATGTTCCCAGCACAACGGGTGGTCACTTATCCTGAATTATTCCTTTTCTTTTATTTAAACATCCAAATAAATACCAGGTTTAATGCAACCAAAGAGAAAGAATACAGAGGTGAATATTTCATACAGAGAGGTGGAGTTAAAACCTCAAATTGAATGCTCAGGCTAAAGCTCATTGGGGGTTTAATATTTCAGACTATAGCACTTTCGCAAGAAAAAGCGAGCGGTTGTTTTTTTTTTTTTTTTTTGTATTAACAGAAAACATTAAAGACATTTTCATAACTGAGGCAAACGGGGTCTTTCAAATGAAAATAAAATGGAAATTCTGGTGAAACACGGAGTCCAGTTTCACCCTGCAGCAGACAACAGTGAACAACCACCTGAGAAATGGATGCGAGGAGGGAATAAGTAATACAGAGGAAAATGTTTTTGTTTTTACAAACTCAATAGCATGTGTGAATTTATAAATTCAGCAGCACAGATCTGAGATGCTACTAAAACCACAGATCAGGTTAAAAGAAAGGCAATGGTTCGATTACTTTTATTATTAATGTTCTTGTTTTTACAAAAAATAAAGTTTTCTGTGGAGCAGATTCTGATGCCTTCTTCTCGTTTACAAAGACAGATGTATCCACTTGCTAAAAGCAGAGAATCAGGAGCAAAGCAGTAAATATCAGGTGGCTGCATATAGATCTATATGTACAGAAGTAAATAAAGGTGTGCTGAGAAATATGTACAGCAGTTTGGGGGGAGGGGAGCAGCGCCATCGGTTGGCTTTGTTATGAAATTACACAGAAATATCACTTTCCAAAGATATTTTTCGGCTCTCAGGCAGAAGGTGGAGAACTGAAACCTTCAGACTTTCTGAGGCTKCGGAGCTCCTCTCGTTTTCCTTCACGCTCTTTTTCCAGTTGAGTGATTTGATTTGTTAGTCGCTCATTGTCCTTCATTTCTGGCAGTTTGTAAGCCTGGAGGGGGAAAAAAGGACAACAATAAGATTAGACATAGTTTTTGGAGCCATTAAATGATTTTGCTTGTTTTTATTACAAAACTGGGTTCCAGGGCCACAAAAATCTTGTAACGCCATCTTTGCGTTTRCGTGTAAACAGTCTAAACACAACTTTTTGAAAACTCTGACTAGGGTTGGGCAATATTGGCAAAATATTTAATCACGATTATTTGTGGTGTTTAGCCGATAAAGATTAATATGACGATTAATTCCCTAGAGTCCCTGGACACCTGCATACAAGCAAAATCACTCTTGTGAGAAAGATGTGCTCTCCGTAAAAATCTGTTTCAAATTGTTTCAAAAATAAATTTTTTGATAGTTATGATAAATAAAGAACTTTTTTTTAAATGTTCATCATATTTGAAGTGTAGAGAACTGAGTGGACTGACCAGGCAAATGTCCAGTCAGTCTGCCTGGTGGCATCAATCATATTTATCATCTAATGCCATAAAATAATCGATTAAAGTTTTTTTTGACGATTAATTGCACACGACACGATTTCACCCAACCCTAACTCTGATGTCATTAACCTACCTTTAGTTTAACCCACAAGCATGACAAACACAATATTAAAACATCAAATAATCTAAAACCAATGTTTGTATCAACAATACAAAAACAAACACCACTAAAAAATATAATATATCAAGCACTCTTTTAAAAATGTAAAAAACTAGAGATGTTTTAAAAGACAGAAACTTATATGTAAATAATTTACCCTGATTTGCTTTAAACGTCTTGAAGAAATTCTTTCCCTCCAGCTGACCCTCACTGAACAGTGTCCATTATGTCCAGCCGTCCCTCACTGAACAGTGTCCATTATGTCCAGCCGTCCCTCACTACGTCCATTATGTCCAGCCGTCCCTCACTGAACAGTGTCCATTATGTCCACAACTTTGCACTGGCACAACTCCCAGTCAGAACTGTCCTGCACTGTTTTTGTGCTGACACAAAGTATTAGCTTTATGCTAATGCTCCACGTCTTGTTTCCTGTTTCTGGTGTATTTTCGTGGCAGCGTTACCACAGCATTTACAAGGCTGAAACTGTGCTGTGTTTGAGTATATTTTTAGAAACAACAACAACAACAACAAAAGACTGCTTTGGGGAAAAATGTTGTTCTATGTAGACAAAGCTTTAGTCGTTAAGAAGAGGTAAGAAATGAGCAAGATGAAGTGAAAAAGAAGGTAAACAAAACAAGAGTTTTTAATGAGCAGGGTGAAACCGTGTGATAAATAAGGAGTTAGCAGAAACAGCTGGTGGAGGTGCTGAATAGTAAACTGTGATTTCTAATCTCCGTGTGAGGGAGTGGCCTTCTACTCCCAAATAAACAGCAGAGAAAGCTCACAACAAGCAGCCTCTATAAGGTAGATGTTCACCAATTTTCTGGGGTACAGTCAACATTTTAGCTGGTCTAAGCCATTTCTGAATGCACATCTACAGGAGAAAGGAGGGAGCTAATTGTAGAGAAAAGCAGCACAAAAACAGGAACAGAGGATGAGAAATGAGCAGAAGGAAGAGAGTCGGAGCACTGAAGAGAGATTCTTACACTGGCTGATTCACCAGACCAGGGATTTGGAGCGGGTGCTGACTCCTTTCCTCCTGCTGGCTGCTGCCGTCACTGCATTCCGATGGCTTCGCTTGTGAGACTCCAAGTACAACTAAAGAAATAAACGAATAAAAAATAGCTGTTAGAAATAAAGCAACTCATTAGTTTGCTTTTAATATCTTTGATTTTTGCCTGCTTCCAAATAGAGTGATGATGTTTTCGCCTCTGCATGTGTTTGTTTGTACCGTTGGCAAACGATGTCATGAATTATTGAACAGATTTTAATGAACCGTTCGGTAAATAATCACTGGATGGACATCAGCTGATAAAACTAACTCGCATCACGATCACTGCCACAGCTAACTGATGTCAGGAAAAACACAATTTTAAAGGGATCCCCGATTAGTTGTAATATTAGACTTTATTTGAAAAACTTTTATTTTAACTGTAAAATAAAGACTGTAAAAATACTGTAGACTGTTTAGTTTTGTAAATTTTTAAAAATATATTTTAACACCGATGCAGCCATTTTATTTACACACAAAGCATTCTGCTTAAATGATGACGTGAATAGGTCCTCAGTGTGAGCGAGCTATATCCACCCTGAAGGTTAATCTTGGACAATATCTGATGATCGACTCTTTTAAATGAAACCAGAGAGCGTTGACAGAGAGGAGAAGGTAGAAATGACTCAGCCTGTAACTGAAAATATGGATGGAGGACAACAGAGCTGCTTCATGYAAGAAGAACCTCAGCTTAGCCMGTTAGCCTTTGCGCTAGCGCTGACGCTATATTGCCTTATATGTATTAGCGCGGTGTTAGCACGACAAACAAGCTAAACTGAGGTCCTCCATCCATATTTTCAGTTGCAGGCTGAGTCATTTCTACCTTCTCCTCTCTGTCAACGCTCTCTGGTTTCATTTAAGAGTCGCTCGTCAGATATTGTCCAAGATTAACCTTCAGGGTGGATACAGCTCGCTAGCAGCCTCACATCGATGACCTATCCACATCATCATTTACCCAGAATGCTTTGCATGTAAATAAAATGGCCCCATCTGTGTAATATATTTTTAAACTTTTAGTTTAATTTTTTAAACTTTTAGTTTAAAAATTATAAAAACTAAACAGTCTACAATATTTTTACAGATTTTATTTTACAGTTAAAATATATGTTTATCAAATAAAGTCTAATGTTACAACTAATCGTGGATCCTTTTAAGGGTTAACCAAAACCCTAGATGTTCTAAACTTCAATAAATATGATTAAGTATTAAAACACATTTGTTTTGATATTTAAACCAGTGGAAGTTTAATTTAGCCTTTTATTAAAAGTGTTTACTGTTTTTTTTCTGATTGTACAGGATTTTGGTTATACTCTGATGTTTTCTTTATAAATAAATTTACTTGACTTCAAACAAAACTTTATTTAAAAAAACAAATATTCATGTGAAGCATTTAGAATCTGTACCTTCTTCGCAAAAGCCCGTCCACACTCGTCGCAGGCGTGCAGGGAAAAATTCTTTGTCACTCTGACTTCAGTGGACGATGTCCCGGTGCTGCTCTCTGATTGGACGTCGTGTCTGCGGGTGTGAGGGGTCTGGTTGCTGGACGGGGCAGTGGAGGACGAGTTGCGGGTGTGCGAGTGCTTCTCGCTGCGGCGGGTCAGCGGGGGGCTGAGGGGACGCTGTGCCGTCTGTTGTCGCTCCTGTTTGCGGGTGAGCGGAGGGGAGGGAGCGAAGGCTGGAGAGGACAGCTCCTGCTGCTTCCTGGTGATGGGGGCAGGGGGCGGAGCACAGGAGGAGGAGGGCGGAGCGGGCGTGGAGCCCTCTTGTCTGCGAGTGACAGGAGGTGAGGGAGAGGAGGAGGACGACGATGAAGCGTGGCGACCGTTCACCTCCTCCTTTATGTTGCCGCTGGTCCTCTTGTTGGTGTTGCTGCTGAGGACCACCTCGGCCAGCCTCTTCACCGCCCGGCTCTCCAGCTTGGGCATGATCTTGGCCAGGTAGGTGGACGACTTCTTGTGGACAACGGTCACGTGGCGCAGGACGTCCCGCTTGCGGCGCGACTCGTAGCGGCAGAGCGGGCAGCGGTAGAACTTGATGAAGATGTCGTTGCCGTCGGTGTGGAGCTCGATGTGCTTCGTCAGGTTCTGGCGGGAGCTGAACTGACGTTTGCACAGTTTGCAGAAGAGCTGCTTGAAGTCGAAGCCCACCGACAGTTTGGTCATTTTGGCAGCCATGTTTGGGCTGAACACGTTGCCCCCGCGGGACGACGACGAAGGTGTGGGCGGAGTTATCTTTGGGCTTGAGGGGGCTTCCTCCTCCTTCACCTTTATGGCGTTCTGTGAAACTCCTTTAGTTGTGCTGGTGTCYGGGGGGGACGGAGCAGGACTACTATCAATGTCCTTATCCTCTTCGTCATCTGAGGGCTCGACTGCCTCCTCCTTCACTTTGATGTTGTTGCTGAGACCTGTGTTTGTGTTGGTGCTGCTGTTGGCAGTAGTTACCGTGGCAGCAGGGGGGGTCGGTGTGGCAGCAGACTTGTTACCTTTGATGCTGTAGATCTTGTGGACTATACGCATGTGTCTCTTCAACATAAGCTGAAAAACACACAGTAACAAATCTTAAAATCTCTCCATGCTCCTTTTTCACACTCAGGACTATTCCTATATTTCATTTTTCTGTACATTTTTTGTGTTGTTTCCCGAACAGCTAAACATTTAGCTCAGGGGTGCCCAAACATTTTCCCTGAGAGGGCCAAAAATAAAATCGTTCTGAGTACCATGGGCCAAATGTAACAATATAATACATGAAATACAAATACTTCCTAAATAAAGTTGTTTTATTTATTACGATTAAGCTAGCAATCAGTGTGATGGCCCACATTTTCAAGTAGGGGTCTCTGCAGAACTGTTGTCCTGTAGGCGGAGACGGCCCAAATTATCATTGGCCGAGGTCTTAAAGTGGGRGGAGATGGCCCAAGAGATGTGATCGGTGGGATTGARGGTGGGGTTTGAAGCTGGAGGCAGCGGGGACTAGCTTGGTCGAGTCGGGCAGGAAGTAACTTTTTTTTTGATTAATTTTAGTCATAACTTGAGAAAGGAAAGTGGTAGTTGCACGTAATTTGAACGCCGTACATGTGAAAGGATGTGTAACAATACGGCTTGGTTAAAACACCCCTAACCAGCCTGTAAAAATATTGATTTTTAGCTATCTTTTTGTGCTTAAAATGTATTTGTTCAGTCTGTTTCCATCAAAATAACAAATTGTTTAAAGGTAATAACCTATAGAAGAAACCAACCTGAGAGCTGTAAGTCCTCTTGCAGAGCGTGCAGCGACACGAGGCTGTGTTGGCCGGAGAGGACGAGGCTGCAGGCTGACTCTGAGGTTTCCCTTGGTTTTTGTTTGGGGTGTTGGTCGTAGAGTTCACAGGCGTGGACTTGGAGTTGTGGCCGCGTGTCGGAGACGAGCTGTTGCTCTTGCTCCTGGGGGGCGTGACTTCCAGCGTGAAGGGCTGGCCGGGCCGCGAGGCGATGCTCGGGGTGATGGTGTCTCTCCGCAGGCCGCGGTGCACCTCGTCAAAGTGGCGGCGCACGTTGGCTTTGGTGGCGAAGGTTTTCAGGCACACCGGGCAGGATTTTCCAGCTGGCGTGCTGAGAGTCCGAGTCCGACCTCGAGCATCATCAAAAAAGATTTACTTTGACAAACGATAATTTACTCTTCTCATTCTTTTTATGTGCTTTCACCCTACAGATGTAAAAAGAACATTCTAGATATTTTGGTATAAAGCCCTACCTTTCACCATTGAGAGCAGACTTGTAGGAACTGTGCGTGTTTCGGTGAACTTTCGAAGCTCCTCCAGCTTCGTCTGGTGCATTTTGCGGCAGTGACGCCTGATGCTGCGGCGCGAGTTAAAGTCTTGACCACAAAGACAACAGGAGATCGTCACATCTTCAACCTGGATGGGACAGAAATAAGAAAAATCGTTCTCACAGGAAAATGCTAAAATCTTTACATCACTAATAAACACTTTTCTATTTAACTTAAATGTTTGTTTGAACTGATTCATTCCACAGTGAGTCTCAATCTCCCACTTTATATTTAATCTCCTACCCCACTGTTGGAGCCCTCGTCTTCAGGCTTTGGCTGCTCCTCTTTGGGCTCCTCATCAGCCTCCCATCTCTTTTGTCCTGGACTGTTSTGGGTCTCTGATCCGCTCGGCTGGTTGGCCTGATTGTTTTCCACACTCTCCTCTGCTTCTCCCTCCCAAGCTACCGGACTTTCTCTGGCACTTTGAGACACAACAAAACACAATAAACGACAAAGGASTTACAGTCCTACCGCACAATTAGGACAAATTTGCACGGTACTGACCTGGTTGTGCGTGAAGGATATCTGGCCAGTTCTTCCTCTGTGGTGAGGTACTGGAAGACCGCCTTGGTGGTGGTTTGAATGGGCTCAAGTTGGACCACATACTCTGGGGCTCTGGGATAAATAGCTTCCAACAAATCCTTCATGGCTACACTCTGTCTGTCATCCCCTGAAGAACAGGAAAGAAAGCATTTAACAGACCTTTAAAAGAGATAATTATAACGTTACTGTTGGTGTTTCTGATCAGTGACACTTAAAGAGATGCTGAGATTTAAGGTAAAACTTGATCCGATAGATTTGTATTAAAACATCTCATGCAGCATCAGAAAAGTATATTTTCAAATATCATAATACCGTAAAAAAATGCAGAAACTTCTGAACCAGAGGTGAACAAAAATTGATGCAATAAAAAAACACGAGTTTTGAAATGCTGTAAAATGAGTTTTGTGTTACAGATTACAGCTTGACCATAAGGTTGCAGATCAACAGAGAAAAATAAAAATAAAATAAGCCTAAAAAGCCCAGGTTCGTGCTGCAACAGCTGTCTGGCTGAAATATCTTTGACCTGTACARTGAACCCCAAGCTGCCTACTTGTAGTGGCAAAATGTGCAGAGGCATCAGATAAAATTGGTCAAATCTAAACAGACAACATAATCTTACAGGGGGGGGCAGTCACCCTTTCCTTTCAATTTCATGTTGTATTCCTGAACAAGAGGGTAAAAAAACAAACATTTATTGCTGTTAGGATGTTTATAAGTTTGATAAGGTTTCATCCACACAGCTGGTTTTCTTCAACGGTGAATTAAAAAGTTACTCTTGAACATCTTAATCACGGTTATTTCTCCTGTAGTAAAGGTTTTTGTAATAAAACAACAGAAGCTGATAAATCTGTTGGTAACCAGCCACAATAGTAAAAAAATAAATAAATAAAATAAAAAATAAAAACAAGCTCCAGTTCGTCTCGTTTGCCTCTTGTCCCGAAAACTTTAGGGTTTGTTTACATTCATTTGGGTGAATTCCTGTCAGGATTTTTACAATTATGTTTTATATATATATTTTATGAAGCCCATTATGATTCAGAATTAAATCACAACAACTGCCTTTAAATAAGATGAATGRTTTATGAAAAGACTAAAGGTTTCTCTGATAGGCTCAATTCTTTAATTTGAAACATGACTTTAATGTAAAGTTTATTAGTTTCTAAGAGGACCAACCAATCTGTCCATACTGGTTTAGAATGTCTTTGTAGAAAACAAACCAACAAAAAAAATTTTTTGCAACCTTTTGTTTACTCTATTACATACTAAAGACACGCAGATGTACATTGGACAACTGCAGAAATTAAACATTATTTTAAGAAGCTGTAAGTGTACCAACTAATCCTTTTGCATCTGTATACCAGAAGACAACAAAAATAGACAGTTAGCACACACAGCAGACAGGTGTGGGTCAGATTTGGTGTAAAGCTAGTATGATAAGTGGTTTGTCAACCAAGTGTGAGCCAGGTCTGGCAGTGATGACACTGTACTCCACAGCTGGTCTGACTGGGTTTTGTTTATGTGGAGCTYGCCTCTGGGAAACCACACGCTGGCCACCAAAGGGCCGTCATTCTTTGCTGTATCTGCGTCGAGTGTTGGTGCACTGCGTMGGCCAGAACTGGGCCAAAGATATTTTGCTTTGTGGGGATTTTAGGCATTGTAACACAATGTACAGTGTACAAGTGCATGGAGGAAACGGTGAGTGTTTGAAAAAAAAAACTTTGTTGTAATCGCACATATTCCATGGACAGCAGATCATTGGCGGAAATGATGAAACCATTTAAGTCGTTAAGGAGAGGAAGGGTGGATTAGACTGTTGCACTTCTAAGCAATGACGAATAAAGACGGGAATAAATTCTAAATAAGAATTAGAAAAACACAGAGGCATAAAAAGAAAATCTTTGTTGTTTCTTGGTGGTACAATGGGAGAAACTTGAATTTGAGTAACACAAATGTGTGCTGGATAGATCCCTTTACTGTGTGCATGCACAASAGAAAATGTTGGGAGAATAATAAGTGGCAGACAGATGGTGTGGAAGCGAGTGATGGACCCTTGGAGTGACAAAATACAAAAGTAAAATGTGAAGGAGCCCAAGGAGACGATGAAAGCAAAAAYAGGGTGTGTGAACTTCTGAGTTCATGGGGCCTAAATGGAAGTCAAGTTTGATCCCCGTCTTGTTAGGGGAGTCACAGTTGATTTATATGATCCTTTCAAGTGTTTGCTTTGAACATCATCAGCTTTGACAATAAAAGTCCCAGCCCAAAGTTCCTGTTTATCCTTCACTTCTGCTGCCTGTTGGTTTTTAGATTGAGATTTGAACGTCTGTGCTTTTTGATGTTTTTTTATGTTGCTTTTTTTTTTTGGTGTCCTTTGATTTTAAGGTTGTGACAGAGGAATGTGTAATGTTGTGTCACTAACCGTCAGAATCAGGCAGCCGTGTTAAGCAGTAGTACTCCTTGTGTGTGATGAGGTTTGGGAGGCCTCTGAACAGACTACGACACACTTTGCACTCAAAGATGGTGTCAACTTCTCTCAGCAGCATGTTTTTCAGCTGACTGGTGCCTGCAAGACAAAACAYACGGGTAAAGWATGACTTRGAGCATCGTGTACGGCCTTTTAATGTCTGCTTAAAGTGAACTTTTAGGAGCAATCACTGAAAATACACACACAGCCACACTCTCCCTCTAAAAGTTAATTAKGAATCAGCAACCAAACTCTAATCAAAACGAGGACATAAAAACACACTGAAACCCCCACAGGAAACATGGACCTTACTGCTGTGAGGAGATAGCACTAACTACCATACCACAGAGCTGCTGCTCTGATTAAAAATTTGGTAAGGACCTTAAAAAAAAAAAAAAGAAGCTACATGACACGAATCTATCCTGCAGAGTTGATCTGTAAAACGCCATTTTAGAAAGTCTGAGTGTGACTGATAAAACCAGACTTTTTCTGTGAACATGTAATGGGAATATGCAGAATGATTCGCTGAAATGTMCTTAAAGGCTGAAACAAGTATCCTCAAACCTTAAAGCCTAAAAGAAGCAAAAAGAATAGCTAGTAACTAAAATTAGCAAAGGCATGGCTAAAAGCTAAAATGAGCAAAACCTTACATACAGGCTTAAAGTAGTGAAACTAAAAGTAAATGTTAAAATTATAAAATTGTAGCTAAAACAATTAAATTGGCAAAACAGCGGCWAAAGCAGTGGTTCCAAAACTTTATCTTCTGACCCACAAAATATCCATGGCAAAAACTTGTGACCCCAAATATTACTGGTCTGAGTACATAAAATCCGTTAATAATCCTAAAAACACAGGCTTTTTGACAATCTAAACAGCTTATACACAAATATAAATACTTATTTTTACTTATTTTGTGTTTTTGTAATAATTACAGGGAAAATATTACATCATCAATTATTTTATTACCCTTTAAACTGATTTCTAGAGATTATCCAAGGTGCTTCATGACCCATAATTGGGTCCCAAGCCCAACTTTGGGAACCAAAGTGCAGTGGTTCCCAAACTTTTCAGCTTTTGACCCACAAAATAACAGTAGCAGAGACCTGTGCCCCCGGCTATTTTTGGATGATAAACATTTGTATCAGGTCAACAAAACATGGGCATCGTAACAATATTTTTATACTACATTTACTCATTTTAAATATACTAACCTCACTCCTTTGTAACAACTAAGGCAAAAATGTAATTAATTCCTAAAATCTTTTCAGGACCCCACCTTGATGTTTCAGGACCCCACTTTGGGTCCCGACCCCAACTTTGGGAAACACTGGGCTAAAGGATAAAATTAACTAAGCTAAAATTTGAAAACTCATAAATACAACCTATATTTAGAAACTAGCAAAGCAGTACATTAAATATTAAAATATTCATTCAAAGCAAGACACTAAGCTGGAAAAATATTAAAAAGTATTAATTGATATTACTGATATAATGATATTAAGTTGATTTTTTTTAAATGTGCAGCAATGTTATGATTTTATGATTTTAAGGTGTTTTATAAAGTTGAGAAGGTCAGCTGTTAATTTTTTTGTCTCATATTTGTAACTTCTTATTTAACATTAGTGTTAAAGCACTCAGTAAATTTGACATCATATTTTCTTCACCTCAAACAATGTTTCTCTTTTTTTAGGCCCACAAACTTGATCCATTCATTTAATTAAAATAGCAGTTACACATGCATGTAAATGTATGGTCAGGCATGAGTAAACCTTAGGAATAAATCCTGCTGTTGGGGTGAATCGAGAACAGGAATGCAGCAGTGAGCACAGTTCTTTGTTGGATTTGTTTTGGTTTTGCCAGTAGCTCAGTTGAGATGGAGCTTGGTGCTCAGCAGCCTGACTGTTTACTTTAACAGCTGGGAATAAACACGCTGGATTCAACACATTCCAGAGTTCACTCTGTCAACAGGGTAATAATGTATTGACTGAGTAAAGAGAATAAATGATTATTTTCAAGAGATTAATAGTTTTCTTTTAAGGAAAGATGTTGAGCAAGTTTAAATCCAGAAGTAGTACTTTGGAATTAGATTAGTGACTTTTACCTGAAGCTTTTAGCTGTAAATTTAACAAATGACCTCTGAGCTACTTGACCCTCTCACGCTGCATTTGTGTTAAAACCAAACCATGCCCACAGCGCTGATATGAAGCTTGGCTTTGTAACAAACTGCATGACGTTAATGTCAAAAGACAGTTACTGGCACTGATTTCTTTTGTCAGGTCCAAGGGGAACAAAAGGAGGGAGCAGGGGTAAATGATTTCCCAGAAACCACTGTGGAAGCTGTGATAGACAGATCGCATTTCTTTTTGTTTCATCCAACAGTTTCTACTGTTTACAGGTGAAAATACATGAGAGCAGTAATTAAATTTAACTGGAAAAATGTCTTTACCTACAAAAATGAATGATTTTACTCAAATTCACTGAAGAAACTGAAAATTTGTTGTTAAAATTAAAATAAAAAAGCACTAGCTAAAAGCTAAATGAAGCAAAAGGTTAACTAAAATCTAACATAAGATGTTAGCCTAAAGCTACAAGAACCAAGAGGCTAACTACAATCTTGAAAGCTAGCTAAAAGCTAAGCATAGCAAAAAGCTAGCTACGTAGCACAACAGTAACTAAAAGTTCAAATTAGCTTCAAGTACCTAAAAAAATAAAATAGCTAAAATAAATTATACTGCAGCCGATTTCATAGAACACTCATCTGCTGAAGGAGCTGAGCGTTTTGACACAGTGTAAAAATAAGAAAGTATGCAGACGTGTTTAAACTGGATAAAAACAAAAAAATAAATAAAATAAAAAACGATGCTGAATCATACCAATACCCTCTGGTGGTGCTTGGTAGTCGTTAGATTTAAAGGAAGCTTTAAACTCACTTAATTAAGAAATCAAGATAAGAAACAAATGCATTCCTTAATCAGTCTTAGAAAAAAAAAACAGCTAAAGCTGACTACATATGGTTTCAGTATGGTTGTACAAATGATGCTGTGTAACCCTTCTTCTCTTTGGTTTCTTTTCTCCTGAATGGGAGACTGATCTGGGCATAGTCAGTCGAAGTGATCACAAATCTGTATCCTATATGCAGTTGGCCCAAGAGGGACCAGGGACCCTTGCAATCTGGCACAAAAAACAACATTTACTCTGCTTCATGGAAGAGCAGGCTGAAAAATCACAAAGTCTCTTTATTCACCTGCTCCAGTAAACGCACCAGTTTATCAGTAGAAAATGGATGAATAAATGGATGTGAAAAAGAGTAATTAAAAGTGTGAATAAATGTAAGTGACTTGAGCTTAAAGCAGCAGTAATCATTTAAATTTGTCCTTCATCTCATGTGTAAATCCACTCCATCATAAACAGGGATTTGAATCACAACATACAGCATCATAAAAGAGGAAACGGGCAACACAGTCAAAAGCACAGTAAGATGCCAGGAAGGAGACTTTAAATAAAAGCAACAAGAAACAAGAAAGCAGAGAGAGAGAGACAAACCTGATTGCAAACATTCAATTATCTGCTGAATCCCAGACTTGGAGGTCTGCAGGGGCTGCTGGAGCAGGGGAGGATCACCAGGCTCCGCACAGAAACCTAGCCAGACAGAGAGAGAGAGACGACATTATATCAAAGTCGGGTCCTAATTATATCAGAGTACGACCGTATGTGAGAAATACAGCGTCACATGAAGAGCCTGAGCAGCTGCTATGAAGAGAGGCAAGCAGCTGTGTGCTGAAAGAACAAACACAATGAGGTCTGCAAAGGATAGTGATTCACTCTGACCTCATTACCTTCTGAGCACACAAACACACACGCTCTGTGAAACACACATAAGCTACATCTACAAGAAAGCAAGTGATCCACCTTTTCGAAGTGAGGAGAAACACGGGCTGTATGAGGAAACTAAAAATCTTTACAAACGGAATCTCAGCGAGGTCTGTCAAGAGGAAGTGACTGAAAACACACAGCAGGGGAGGGAGGCTTGCTGATGACTCGCCTTTTACTCCAACATTGGTCAGCAACATGACTCAAGAGATTCACCGGTTTATCTGTTAAACAAGATTTTTGCATCATTTGCAAGAGGAGAAAATGGGAAATGGAATTTCTGATGATGCTTTGACTTAATAACCAGTTTGCACATTTTTTTTTTTGCCTCGTTTTTGGTGCGAGCTGTTATCAGCTGCCACGAAAAAGGCAAACGTGGATGTCTTGCAACTAGATCACGTGTTTTTATTTTTGAGGCTTGACCAAAAATTGGTACAAGTCCATCGTTTCACATACTAAGACAATTTTAATCCAAAACTATGGCAAAAATGTTTCTACCTGAAGAAATAACAAGGATAAAGATGTTTTAAATGCTGAACTGTGTTATTTATAGTTACTGATTTTGTGTTCTCTTGTGTTAAACAACAACAGAATAACAGGCTAAAGGTGTCTGCATTATTGAAAACACCAGAATGTTGTCAGAAGGTTAAATTTCTCTCATTTTACCTGCTTCATAAAAACAGGTTGAGTGAAATGATATTTTCATCCATTTACTTAACTCAGGGGTCTGCAACCTGCGGCTCTGGGGCCGCATGTGGCCCTTTGGTCCCTCTACACTGGCTCTTTGAAAATGATGCCCAACAAAATGGAATTTTATTTTATTTTTTTGTTTTTTTTTTACCCACAACAGAAATTATTTGTATGCAAATATGTGATCAATACTACTAATACAAAAAGTAAAACATGTTTATTAG